GACAACACTGCGGAGACGGCCCTCGTGCTCCAATGGGAGGCAATAAAGCCCAGAGACTTTCCCGGACGCCCAGCGGAATCCGACGGGGAACTTGGATCCGAGCGCGCGTTTCTCCGCTTCCAAGGTGTGCTTCCGTCTTTGCCATTTCACGTCGCCCCACTTCGGGGCGCTCTGGGGGCGCGGACCATCGACAGCGTTCCGGAGGGGACGTGGGGTGGGGTGGTGCGGGGGCGGGGGTAACTGGCCGCTCCGGGCGCGCGGGAGCTTTAAGACAAACAGGCCGAGCGCCCCCGTCCTCCACTTCCGGGACACTTAAGGCTGCTGGGAGCCCCATATCCGGTCCCGCCCGATTGCATCTTGGGAAATGTAGTCCCCTCCAGTCCCGGCCAGCTTTCCCGGGGCTTTGTGGAACTGCAACCCCCAGCATACTGCATTCGCTTGCCTGTCGGCGGACCCCGGGCCGGTGGGGAGCGCCCTCCTCCTGGGTGTTTTGATTTCTCTGGAGGAAACGAGCAGCAGTGCGCAGGGGCCCTGGGAGGCGCCGTCGGTGGACGGCTCGGCTTGGCGCGCCGGGGACGCGGAAGCCCGGGACCTGGTTAAAAATCGGCGGCTAAAAATCCGCGCCGCCGCCTCTCCTTTAACTGCAGGAGGCGGGGCGCGGCGGCGCGGCCCGCGTTGCCATTGGCGGCGGTTAGGGGCGCGGAAACTGAAAGCGCCGCCGCCGCCGCCGCGGTCGCTTCCGCGGGCTCGGGCGCTCGGCTCCACGCCAGGGCCAGGGCCAGCCAGGTGGGTGTCGGCCGTGGGTGAGCGCCCCGGTCTCGGTCTTCCAGCCGGCGTGCGGGCTGCGGGAGGCAGGTGGGGCGCCGTCCCGGGCCTGCCCGTTCGGGCCTCAGTTTACCCGAGCGTCTCGGGGGCGTACTGGCGAGCCCCGCCCCGGTGGTCACCTCGGCGGGGAGACCAGGGCCGCCGTCCCGAGGCCTGAGCTGGGGCCGGGCCCCTCCGTCTTGAGCCCTGTTTTGGTGCCCCCTTCTCCTCAATGAACCCTGAGCTGGGGGAGATGAGGCCGACTTTCGGGGGAGCCTCCAGGGAGGTGTCCGAAGCCCCACGGTTAGAGGTGGACCTGAAGTTCTGTGTGCACACTGACCCTGCAGAGGGAGCCGGGCTTGCGCTTGGTCTGCTGTGGGGACCCCGAGCGCCCCATCCCCCTGCCCCTCCTGGTCGTTGGAAGGCTGGCAGGTGCGTTGGGGATGGAGCTGGGCAAAGCTATGGGGGATGGCGGCCACCTTGCTCCGCCTTGGGGCGTCCTTCCCCAAGAGGAGAGCTTGCTGGATCCACTGCAGTGCCTCTGACACCCCTTTGAGGTTTCCGGGGTGTGGGGTCGGTGGAGGGGTTTGGTTAGGATCCCTGTAAGTCAGAATCCACTCCCTGGCTGTCGGTTTGGCGTTTTTTGGAGTCTCCCCTGGGAGTGTCTGGGATATTCTCTCCGTGTTCTCCTGTAGGAGGAAGATGGCGTTTTCTGTTCCCATAAAGATTTACCGCCGAAACCCAAAGGGACAGTTCTGCCCTGCCCTCTAGGAACTGCCCGTGGGAATCGACTGGGCCGTGAGGTTTGAGTTTTGTCTTCCTAAGCAGTGGCTGGATGTCCCTGCTGCTTCTGATGTCAGGCGGCATTGACATGATGGCCATCATGTCACGTGGGGCCTGTCCGGGCCAGCTGGACCTGTGGGCCACTGTCCAGTCTGTGCTACGATGAGGGTACAGGACCTGGTGTATGGAGGAGGGATTCTGAAAGTCACCCCCCCCCTTCTTCTGAGCATATTCACTCACTGAAATTCACCCTTTCCCAGGGACTCTTCAGTGACTTCGTATACGCACAGTATTGTGTAACCACCGCCACCGTCTAATTCCAGAACATTTTTAGCTTCCTTCAAAGAGCAACCCCGCCTGTACCTGGGACTCTGCCTTTCTTTCTTTTTTAAAAATTATTTTATTGGGGGCTTGTACAACTCATCACCATCCATCCATCCATCCATCCATCGTGTCAAATACATTTGTTGTCTCATCATTCTCAAAACATTTTCTTTTGACTTGAGCCCTTGGTATCAGCTTCATTTTTTCGACTCTGCCTTTACCTGACCCCCTCCCCCCTCCGAGACCCCGGCCACCACGGTCCTGCTCCCTGTCTCTATGAACTTGCGGGTTCTGGACGTTTTGTGTAACCGGAGTGATACTGCACTCGGCCTGCGTGTCTCTCTCACTGAGCAAAAGGTTTCAGGGTTCACGCAGTCTGGGTCATCAGGGCAGCATTCCCTTTTCATGGGCGAGTAATATTCCGTTGTGTGGCTTTACCACATCTTGTGCATCAGTTCATCAGATGGGGTGTGTGTGTCACATTTGGGTTATTCCCAGTCCTTTGTCTCTTGTGAGCATCGCGGCTGTCAACGGTGGTGTTCACGTTTTGTGGGAGCACGCGCTCCAGTCGTGGCCGCCACAGCCTGGCCTGCAGAAAGTGCGGAGGGCTTGAAGCGTGTGCTGAGGGAAACCAGAGCCTGCAGCCCCGGGTCTGGATTGCACCTCGATGTGAACCACCCCCAGTCCCCCAGGGCTGGCCCAGTAGACAGCAGTGGGGTGCAAACGGGCACTGCCAGGGATTTGGTTTTGCGTCGATCCGTGGTTGGTGCTCACGGAAGCAGCCGTCAAGAAACTCAACACGCGCTGGGCACATTCGCCACGCGCCACCTCGTCAGGGTGTTGAGGAGCCAGCGTGCCGCAGGACGGAGGTGCGTCCCACTCTAGCCGGGTGGCTTTGGTCACTTCGTGGGCAGGTGGAAGCTGGATGGTGAGTGAGCGGGGCGGGGAGGAGTCGGTGCATTTGAATGAAGGCAGCTGTGCGCAGACCTGTCTTGGAAGAAGTCCAGCCGAATGGTCCCGAGAAGCCAGGACAGCGCGACTCCTCTCCTCTCCTGTGCTTTGTGCGTGTTGTCGGGGGAACCGGTCCCTCCCTGGAGAAGGGCATTGTGCCGGGGCCAGAGGAAGAGGAAGACCAAAGCAGAGGGTCATGCTGTGGCTTCCACTGTGAGCCCAAACGTCCTGATGGTGAGGACCTCATGGACCGGTGGTGGCTCCTCCTGCTGCCCGGGTGGGGATCGGGGGCTCTGGGAGTCTGAAGGGACTCCGGCAGCCTCCACCAGAGCCGAGGGCCGGGCCACTCCCCCACAGAGCCGCTGGGGACCGCCACACACAGACCTTCCAGTGAGGAACCGAGCATTGAGGAACCCTGTGCCGCCTGGGCTCCCTTGCAGCCCACCTGGTGGGTGAGAGGCAATGTGTTTTCTCATGCTGTGAGTTGCATTTCCCCGACTAGAGACGCGTCCCTTCAGATCGTGGGCTCGCTCCTTTCACCAGGCGATTTGCCTGCTTATTTCTGAGTCGTCAGATCCTTCCAGATTCTCGATACACGTTTCTTATCAGACATGTGATTGGTAGATACCGTATATCAGGGCTCCTCAAACTTTTTAAACGGGGCCAGTTCACTGTCCCTCAGACCCGTTGGAGGGCCGGACTATGGTTTAAAATAAACGATGAACAAATTCCTATGCACACTGCACATATCTTATTTTGAAGTAAAAAAAAATGGGGCAAAAACACCCGGCGAGCCAGATAAATGTCCTTGGCAGGCTGCATGTGGCCCACAGGCCGTAGTTTGAGGACCCCTGCTGTATCTACTCGAGTATAAGCCCACCCGAATATCAGCCGAGGCACCTAATTTTTCCACAAAAGCTGCATCTGAAATGTGCTGGGGAAGTCGGCGTGTCCACGAGAACCCGTGGTGTTTCTTCCTTCCACGGAGCGTTTTCACTTTGGGACGACGTCCCTTTCCCGAGGTGCGATGACAGCCATCACCCCCTCCAGCCCGGAGCTCTCGCGGTTTGTGTGGTCACAGGCCTGTGCAGATACGAGCTCAGGATCCGCCTGTTCTCACCGTTCAAAAAGACGGCCCGTTCAGTAGCTACACTCACCAAGCCCTTCCCCCCACCCCCACCCCGATTGCCTAGCAACCCCGTGCCCGAGCGTGGACCCTCCCCACAGGGAGTTCAGGCTGTAATCTGTAAGGTTTGTTCCTCATGAAGGAATTGGCTTCCCCACCCACAGCCACCACCTCTGTGGAGGTCCCCGGCCTTCCCTCCAGCAGCCGACGGTCAGGCTCAACCGCCAACCTTCCCTCTGGCAGCAGTTGTGCTGGAAAGCCCTCTGCTGCCTCAGGATTTCCCGTGCATGGGGCCGCGTGCTCCGCGGTCACCGGTCCGGCTCCTTTCCGTGGCATGCCGCGTCTGCCGGTCGGCCGTGCCATCTCGGGCATCCTTTCCCTGGCCGAATAATCCTCCACGGCAGAGCTGGCACGCCGCACCGTGTTCCCCTCCTTCTGCCGGTGGAGTGTCGAGGTGGTTTCCGCCCTGGCAGGACGAATGGGCGCATGCATCCGGATTTTGTGCAGATATTAGGTTTCTAGGAAGGTGCCCTGGTGCCGCAGGGACGAAGCTCCTGGTGGCTGTCAGAACATTTTGTGGTTCGAACCCACCAGCAGCTCCGTGGGAGCCAGGATCAATGCTCTGCGCCTGGGCAGATGACAGCCTAGGAAGAGGACGGCCCCCCTCTGCCCTCGAGGGTCTCTGAGAGGCGCTGACTTGGAGATCCCTAAGGCAGCACCTGGCTCGCCATCCTCTGGTCATATCGGAACTCTATCTGAGGAGTGAATGGATGCTCAGATTGTGTTCCTGACTGGCCGCGCCGTGTCACGTTCCCGCCAGCAATGCGTGAGGCTCCGGTTCTCAGGGCCTCCTCCTCCTCCTCTTCCTCCTTTCCCTGCCCGGCTTGTGATTCTAACTGCCCGCTGGGTGTAAGTGCTATCGTGTGGCCGGGTCCTCGTTCCCTGGTGGTCGACGATGTTGGGCTTCTTTTTGTGTGCTCGCTAGCCATTGGTACATCCATCCTTTGGGAGGCAGTGTTGGCCAGGTTCTTTGTCCAGTTTCAAACTGGGCTGTTTCTCTTTTTGCTGTCCGCTTTGGGGATCACACCCTCTCCAGGCGGGCATAGCCGTGATTTCTTCTCATCTCTGCCCGTCCTGTCATTTTCTCGGTGGCGTCCTTGAAGTACAGACGTTTTTAGTGTGGGCAGTGTCTCGTGTGTCTGTTGTGCCCTCTCTTGCTCGCGTTCCTGGGTTACAGCCAAGGGACCGTTGCCTAGCATGAGACTCGGACAATTTACCCTGTGTTTGCACTGAAGGAGGGGCCCTGGTGGAGCAGTGGTTCAGTGCTAACTGAAAGCTTGATGGTTCAACTCCACCACCCGCTCCACAGGAGGAAGACGAGGCACTCGTCATAGAGACTCACAGGCTTGGAAAGTCTGGAGTGCAGCTCTACACTGCCCTGTAGGGTCATCATGAGTAGGAATCCACTCGAGGCCACAGCTGTGAGCCACGTGTGTGGCTGTCCAGTTTTCCATGCCAGCACAGTGTGTAGAAGCGGCTGTTCTTTCTCCACAGCATGCGCTTGGCACCCCAGGCAAAATCAGTTGGCCACAAATGGTGATGATTGGTTTGTGGGTTCTCAGTTCTACTCTCTCTTGGTTCACCAGGGCCACACTGTTTTGATGATTGTAGCTTTGTCGTGTGTTTTGACATTGGGAAGGGTAAGTCCTCCAACTCTGTTCTTTATGAGGATTTCTTTGGCCCTTCTCCTGGGCGTCCTGCATTTTCCTTCGCCTTTAAGAATGGGGCTGCTAACCCACAAGGCCAGCAGTTCAAATCCACCAGCCCTCTGTGGAGAAGGGTGAGGCTGTTTGTTCCTGTAAAGATTTGCAGTGGCAGACTCCCTAAGGAGCAGCTTGACTTTGTCTTTCAAGGTTGTGTGTCAGGCAGGGTTCTCCAGAGAAGCGGAGCCTGTGGCTGTTGTCTGAGTATGTCTGTCTGCAGAGAGAGGCCACACTGAGAAATGGCTCAGTCCAGTCTGGTTCCGGCCCGTGGGCCAGTGTGAGCTGGAGGCTCCCCCTGACTCAGTACCTGACTAGGGGCTGACTGGTAGGAAGCAGGAAGATGGAGCGGAATGGAGGCGAACTCGCTGTCCACCACGGCTCCTGGGAGCAGCAGGCCCTGCAGCAGGAGGCAGATGCACCGGACGCAGGATCACATGCAGGAGCTGGCTGGCTTCCACACACTGTCCGCTTAGACAGCGTGGGCTGCACCTTGAGTGAGAGCTGCCTCATCGCGGCCAGGCCGCGACCAGGTTTGAGGAGGTCTGGGTCCCAAGTCACGGGGACCCCAGGCCCAGCCACGTCCTCAGCTGCCACAGATTGCTGTGATGCACATTGCCTCGATGACAGTGGGTTTTTAGGCTTCGTTGACTGATCACCGCAAATGAGACACTGACAGTCTCGACAGCACGCGTGCTAAACCCGGCGTCAGTCTGACGTCTCCCTGAACGTCATGAAGTCTGCGCCGTGGACACGGCGTGCTTCCGACTTGTCTGGGACCTGGATTCTTGTCGTGAGGTTTGGTAGCCGTCCCCGTACAAATCTTGCACTTTGGGGTCAACTTAATTTCTAGTCCTTTCCCCTTCATGGTGCTGTCAGTGGGGCCGTTGGATGTGTCGGTTGTGCGTTGCTAGTGTACAGAAACACAGCCCGTTTGTGTGGGGGGCCCTGGTCGCCTGCAACCTTGCCGAGCCGATTTGTTCACACTCGGCATCTGCCAGGGGCTCCCGAGGACCGTCTGGACACCCCAGTCCCCCCTCAACATTTTAAACCCTGGCCAGCTGTTGCTGGAAGAACCTTGATGCGCTCCCCCAGCCCCCCCAGGAAGGCCCTTCCTCCCCATGCCTGACATTTGTGGCCCACCCTGTCCCCCAGGAAGGCCCTTTCTCCCCATGCCTGACATATGTGGCCCACCCTGTCCCCCCAGGTAGACCCTTCTCTCGAGAGGCATTTTAAGGGCCACCGAGATGCAGTCACCAGTGTGGACTTCAGCCTCAACAGGAAGCAGCTGGGTAGGTACCAGCTGGTCCCGCAGCCAGAGCCGGCTGAGGGCTGAGGGTTCCCACCCACGCAGGGGGCCTGGGCGTGGGGCAGCACACACAGCCCAGAGAGGCCCGGGCACTGTCTGGGTCCGCATCTTGCTCAAGCCGGCCGGTTCTCTGGGCACCGAGCGCCAGAGCTCACAGAGGGTGAGGGTCCGAGAGGCGGGGGCTTGGCGGGCACACCGCCTCTGAGGGTGCTGTTGGGGGGCTGCCATGACGCCTTCTCCTTGAGCCTCTGTGAAGCCTGCTGTCCAAGGTCGCTCGAGAACCACCACCTTTGCCTCCCCTGCCCTTGGAGGCACCTGGTGGGGGCCCCTCGGGTCCCGGGGTCCCTAGAGAACTCTGTGATAAAGTGCGCTGCCATTAGCAGCAGCTGCAGGGTCTCTGGGGACCACCCCGCTGCCCCTGAACAGCCGAGAGCCCCTGCCCTGACTGCCGGGGCGTGGGGGTGGGGTGGGGTGGGGGGAGCAGCTCTCCTGCCGTCACATGACATGCATGTGTTCATTCTGTGGTCAGTGCCCCTGCCGGAGGCTGCCGGCCTCATGGTGCCCGCAGGCGCAGGCGAGGAAGGCACCGGAATGCTTCTGCTCTGGGGTTGGGATTTCCTGGTTGAGGCAGGCCCTCTCAGTGGGAGAAGGGCCCCTGGGCTAGGCCTGTCCCCGTGGTGGCAAGATTTGTGGTCTGGGGCCTGCAGGGTGTCTATGGGGGATTTCAGACCTCATGGGACCAGTTTCTTCAGATTGGGCCAAGGAGGGGGGCCATGGGCCCGTCGGGCTGTGCCAGTGGGGGCTCGAGGGCCACAGCGTCCCCCTTCCATGCAGCCAGCGGCTCCATGGACTCGTGCCTCATGGTGTGGAACACGAAGCCCCAGTCACGTGCCTACCGCTTCACGGGCCACAAGGACGCTGTCACCTGCGTGTGCTTCTCGCCGTCTGGCCACCTGCTCGCCTCAGCCTCCCGGGACAAGACTGTCCGCATCTGGGTACCCAACGTGTGAGTCCCACACCTCGAGGGGCTCGCCTGAGATGGGGTGCTCGTCAAAGCCTGGGCCTGGCTTCCATGGGCCGCGTGCGGTGGGGCCACTCAGGCCTGGATTGACTTTGGGTGGGAGTGGGGTGGGGGAGAGCTCCTCCCGAGGTGCTGTGGGTCTCCTGACGCTGCCTGTCCCTGCAGCAAAGGCGAGTCCACAGTGTTCCGTGCGCACACAGCCACCGTGAGGAGCGTCCACTTCTGCAGCGACGGCCAGTCCCTCGTGACAGCTTCAGACGACAAGACGGTGAAGGTGTGGTCGACCCACCGACAGAAGTTCCTCTTCTCCCTGAGTCGGCACATCAACTGGGTCCGATGCGCCAAGTGAGCAGCCTGGGGGGCCGAGCCAGCAAGGCCACTGTGGAGTGATGGCGGAAGGAGGCTAGCTGACCGTGCTGCCATCCACGCTGCATTGGAGGGCTGTCCCGCACGCAAGCTGGGTGGGGGGCAAGCCGAGGCCCGGCAGCGGGCACACAGTCGCCCCAGGCTCCCTGGTGCCAAGGCAGTTTGGTTGCTTCTCTGTGGGCCGGCTGCTCCTTGCAGGGAGAGCTTGTTCCAGGGCTGCTGTGGGGCGTGGGGGCCAGTGCCAGCTAGACTTCCCAGACTAGCCTGAAGATTGCCCTCCCCTGGACTTTGGGGGGTGGTGAGGCCGTTGTAGGGTTTGAGAATCACTGACACAAACGTGCCTACTTCCGGCTTGTTCTAGACCTTTCAATGCTCCTGATGGCTGGGGGCAGTCTCAGAGGTCAGGCCCTGTACAGGTGTTTCTCTGGGGGCCCAACAGGTTACTCGGCACCCCCCGCGCCCCCTGCACCCACTTTCCTTCTCCTGAGATGGTTTTCTGCTCAGAGGGACCTTGAGATCAGGATCCTGAGAGAGGGGGTGGGCCTGAGGCTGCAGATTGGAGGTGTCAGGGCCTCACCAGGCCTGTGAGGGCGGGGCTCCAGGGCCGGCCTCCTTGCCCTCTGCCAGCGGTTTAGGTTTTGCTGGGTCAGATGCCCATTTGGGAGGACAGGCCCAGCAAGCAGCTGCTGCATGGG